GTATCACGCCCTCAGACCTTTTCATTCAAAACAACGCTGCTGCCAAATGAACTACTTTTTTGTTATTTTTCCCTCATTGAGCACGACCAAAATGCATCTCTAGGAAATAACTTGCAAGTAAGCTTCGTTATTTCAGATCAGAATTGAAAAGGCTGGAAGGCAGGGCCATTCAAGTACTGTACACAAGTCCAGAAAGTCAACTCCGTGTGAAATGAGTGATGGCCTTTGAATAGTGGGAACAATAGGACGGTCAGTAGTTACCGCACTAGTAATTTAGGCATCTGGACTTCAGATAGGTGACTTCATATCCCACTACAGTGGATTTTAAATTCGGTCAATTAGATAAATATGGAATAAAAAGATCGTATCAGTAATGGTAATCACATCATCACCAGATTTGTGTTAAAAATCCATCTGGTTCACTAATTGGAAGGAAATTGTCTTCCTACCCATATGTGTGTGACTGATGATCCATGACAAAATGGCTGACTCTGAACTGCTGATTGAAATGGCTGAAAGAGACAATCAGGGATAGGTAGTAAACGCTGGTCTTGCTAACAATACTGATACCTGTGAATGAATTCTAGTAAAGGGTCACATCACTGCTGGGGCTTCACCTGGAGTGTCATGTCTGAAACTGGGCATCACATTTTAGAAAGGATGCTAAGGTCTTGCCTGGCTGTAGAGGAGATTTATGGGTTGTAATGGGGCACTGTGAACGAGAGCCTTGCATTAAGTGAAGATCTAGAGAGTGATTCTCTTGATAATTATGGTGTTCAAAATGATTCAGAGTTTTAATAGAGTAGACGGGGAGACATTACTCAGAGTGCCGGGTAAATTGGAAACTAGAGGGCACAGATTGACAATAATTTGGAGTTTGGCGATGACTTAGTGTTAGAACATAGAACATAGAACATTACAGCGCAGTACAGGCCCTTCGGCCCTCGATGTTGCGCCGACCTGTGAAACCAATCTGAAGCCCATCTAACCTAAACTATTCCATTATCATCCATATGTTTATCCAATGACCATTTAAATGCCCTTAAAGTGGGCGAGTCTACTATTTTTGCAGGCAGGGCATTCCACGCCCTTACTACTCTCTGAGTAAAGAACCTACCTCTGACATCTGTCCTATATCTATCACCCCTCAATTTAAAGCTATGTCCCCTCGTGCTAGCCATCACCATCCGAGGAAAAAGGCTCCCACTGTCCACCCTATCTAATCCTCTGATCATCTTGTATGTCTCTATCAAGTCACCTCTTAACCTTCTTCTCTCTAACGAAAACAGCCTCAAGATCCTCAGCCTTTCCTCATAAGACCTTCCCTCCATACCAGGCAACATCCTGGTAAATCTCCTCTGCACCCTTTCCAATGCTTCCGCATCCTTCCTATAATGCGGTGACCAGAACTGTACGCAATACTCCAAGTGCGGCCGCACCAGAGTTTTGTACAGTTGCAACATGACCTCATGGCTCCGAAACTCAATCCCTCTACCAATAAAACCTAACATACTGTACGCCTTCTTAACAACACTATCAACCTGGGTGGCAGCTTTCAGTGATCTATGCACATGGACACCGAGATCTTTCTGCTCATCCACACAACCAAGAATCTCACCATTAGCCCAGTACTCTGTATTCCTGTTATTCCTTCCAAAGTGAATCATCTCACACTTTTCTGCATTAAACTCCATTTGCCACCTCTCAGCCCAGCTCTGCAGCTTATCTATGTCCCTCTGTAACCTGCAACATCCTTCCGCACTATCCACAACTCCACCAACTTTGGTGTCATCCGCAAATTTACTAACCCACCCTTCTACGCCCGCATCCAGGTCATTTATAAAAATGACAAACGGCAGCGGCCCCAAAACAGATCCTTGAGGTACACCACTAGTAACTGAACTCCAGGATGAACATTTCCCATCAACCACCACCCTCTGTCTTCTTACAGCTAGCCAATTTCTGATCCAAACCGTTAAATCACCCTCAATCCCATGCCTCTGTATTTTCTGCAATAGCCGACCATGGGGAACCTTATCAAACGCTTTACTGAAATCCAAATACACCACATCAACCGCTTTACCCTCATCCACCTGTTTGGTCACCTTCTCGAAGAACTCAATAAGGTTTGTGAGGCACGACCTACCCTTCACAAAACCGTGTTGACTATCCCTAATCAAATTATTCCTTTCTAGATGATTATAAATCCTATCTCTTATAATCCTTTCCAACACTTTACCCACAACCGAAGTAAGGCTCACTGGTCTATAATTACCAGGGTTGTCTCCACTCCCCTTCTTGAACAAGGGGACAACATTTGCTAGTCTCCAGTCTTCTGGCACTATTCCTGAAGACAATGACGACATAAAGATCAAAGCCAAAGGCTCTGCAATCTCCTCTCTAGCTTCCCAGAGAATCCTAGGATAAATCCCATCCGGCCCAGGGGACTTATCTATTTTCACACCTTCCAGAATTGCTAACACCTCCTCCTTATGAACCTCAATCCCGTCTAGTCTAATAGACTGTATCTCAGTATTCTCCTCGACTACATTGTCTTTTTCCTGTGTGAATACTGACGAAAAATATTCATTTAGCACCTCTCCTATCTCTTCGGACTCCACGCACAACTTCCCACTACTGTCCTTGACTGGCCCCAATCTTACTCTAGTCATTCTTTTATTCCTGACATACCTATAGAAAGCTTTAGGGTTTTCCTTGATCCTACCTGCTAAAGACGTCTCATGTCCCCTCCTGGCTCTTCTTAGGTCTCTCTTTAGGTCCTTCCTGGCTAACTTGTAACTCTCAAGTGCCCTAACTGAGCCTTCACGCCTCATCTCTACATAAGCCTCCTTCTTCCTCTTGACAAGAGATTCAACTTCTTTAGTAAAGCACGGTTCCCTCGCTCGACCACTTCCTCCCTGCCTGACAGGTACATACTTCTCAAGGACACGCAGTAGCTGTTCCTTGAACAAGCTCCACATTTCAATTGTGCCCAGCTCCTGCAGTTTCCTTCTCCATCCTATGCATCCTAAATCTTGCCTCATCGCCTCATAATTGCCTTTCCCCCCAGCTATAACTCTTGCCCTGCGGTATATACCGATCCCTTTCCATCGCTGAAGTAAAGGTAACCGAATTGTGGTCACTATCACCAAAGTGCTCACCTACCTCCAAATCTAACACCTGGCCTGGTTCATTACCCAGTACCAAATCCAATGTGGCCTCGCCTCTTGTTGGCCTATCTACATACTGTGTCAGGAAACCCTCCTGCACACATTGGACAAAAACTGACCCATCTGAAGTACTCGAACTATAGTGTTTTCAGTCAATATTTGGAAAGTTAAAGACCCCATAACAACTACCCTGTTACTTTCGCTCCTATCCAGAATCATCTTTGCAATCTTTTCCTCTACATCTCTGGAACTTTTCGGATGCCTTTAGAAAACTCCCAACAGGGTGACCTCTCCTTTCCTGGTTCTAACCTCAGCCCATACTACCTCAGTAGACGAGTTGTCATCAAATATCCTTTCTGCCACCATAATACTGTCCTTGACTAACAATGCCACACCTCCCCCTCTTTTACCACCTTCCCTGATCTTACTGAAACATCTAAGCCCCGGAACCTGCAACAACCATTCCTGTCCCTGCTCTATCTCTGGACTATTAATCCAGACACGCAGGTATGTTCTGAGGACCTGGGTTCGAATCTGGCCACAGCAGATGGTGGAATTTGAATTCAGTCATAATCTGGAATTGAGAGTCTAATAATCACGGTGAAACCATTGCCGATTGTTAGGAAAAACCCATCTGGTTCACTGATGTCCTTTAGGGAAGGCAACTGCCATCCTTACCTGGTCTGGCCGACATGTGACTCCAGACCCACAGCAATGTGGTTGACTCTCAACTTCCCTCTGTGCAATTAGGGATGGGCGATAAATACTGGTCCATCCAGCGACACGCTCATCCCATGAATGAATAAAAAAAAATGTAAAACAACAGCTTTTTGTGTGACCTGGAATGCACTGTCTAAAAGTGATATGATGATGCTGTGGCTTTAAGAGATTATTTTGTCTGGATGTATTTTAGAGAGATTGCATGTGAGGCGCTGAGTTGTCTGTAAGCAAGCAAACAGCTTGTGTGGCCCTGTGGTGTTTTAAAGTTGGAACAATAGAAGCATCCTGGCTGGGTGTAGCCAGCTGTCACAGACCAGCCTTTCTTGTTTTTTTTTAGTTTTTAGGTTTAATTTTAAGCAGTTGCTGTTGTGGGCTTGAAGAAGTAGAAGCTATCTTTTCCATCTCTCAGTTACAACTAGAAACTGGGATTTCTCTCTGCTGCTGGGTTACCTGTGAGACAAATCTATTTTTCTGAATTTGCCTTTTTGCCAAGTGGTGTGTTTATGGGATGTTACTGTCTTGGAACAGTTAATTAGTAATAGTTACTATATCTATTATTTGGTTAAGTTTTCCACTGGAGTCAAGTTATTCTAAATTCTTGTTTCTTTGGTTGTATTTTAACGACAGTGTTTAAATAAATTGTGTTTTACTTAACGTTGTGTAGTTTAACCAGTGCCATTGCATCTGGAACACAACAATTGACATTTGCTTTTAAAATAAGAAAAAGTTAGGATCTAGGTTACCTTCTTAAAATATTTTGAGGGGGTCTGGTCTGGTCCATAACAGCATGATGGAAGAGGTTTCAGTTTCACTTTTGACAACCAATTGAAAACAGGGGAAAATGCAGGGCTAATGGGAAAGAACAGTAGAGTGGAGTTAAAGTGGAAAGTTCTTCCAAAGAGTCAGTATAAATACAATAGGAAGAATAGCCATAGTCTGATGATGATTCTAGATGGCCGTCCTTGTGCATTGTCGTTTCTCAGTTTTGAGTATAGTCTTTTAATGCAAAGAATCACATTTAAAGTGTGTGAGCAGGACGATGATGGAAGTTTAATTTGTGTTTGTATGCAAGTGCTCTGAAAGCGACATTTTTCCTCCATTCTCACTTAGAGCTCGACAGCCTTGAAGAGCTGGAGAAGAAACGCATCTGTCGGATCATCACCAAGGATTTTCCGCAGTATTTTGCCGTGGTGTCGCGGATCAAACAAGAAAGTAATCAGATGGGACCTGAAGGAGGAATGTTGAGCAGCACAAACATTCCTCTTGTGCAAGCATCCTTCCCAGAGGGTGCTCTCACCAAGAGGATCCGAGTGGGTCTCCAGGTAATGGGCTTTTTAATTCTCCTTGGAGGTACCAGCTGTACTCCAATGTCGCTCCTGCTCAATGTGGCCCAGTAAAGGTTTGTGTGAGCAGGGCAGGAGGGTAGCCAAATAGTGTGCCATTCCAGAGAGCAGAACCAGAAGCATCTGCCACTTTCACTCTCTCTCTCTGGCTTTCTCCGGTTTCGGGCGTGTTTATAACGAAAAGGGGCACTGCCGGTGGCATGCATGTGCACTGTCACGGTGGGAAGTGGGTAACTATTCACTGACCAAGCCCTCTCATCAGCTGACAATGCAGCACCTGCAGGCAGGGTCAAAACAGGGTCTCCTGCTCAAAACGGATCAACGTCCTGCCCAGTCCCATTGCGGTTATCATAAATCTCGAGAAGCACAAAGGTCAGTTGGGTATTCTGGAGATTAAACTTCCCTTGTAAGTATGTCATGTTGTGTGGGTTTCACTTTGTTCATCTATGTGCATCATCATTATTTGGTGAGACTCGCTCATTCACAGGCACATCTCATGGTTGACACACATTAATTGTTATGGGCCAGTTAGGCACATTTCCTTTGATGTAGAAGAAAGACCTGTGTGACTTTTGGGTTGTCCCCCTTTATTTACAAGTGAATAGTACATGACACTGAGCCGACTAGCGCAGAGCTAGCTCCCAGAATGGGCAGAACCCCTGACACTCCAGTTTATATCTGTCAGCCAGGACTCCCTGATTGAGTCTGGTAACCTGGTCCAATCAGGAAGCTCATATTCCTTGAGCTGACCTTGTTAACATCACGACAGGCTCTTCTATTTGTACAGGATCAAAGATCATTAACTGTGGTGGGGGATAATTGAAATGTTGTCGGTGAACCCAATGGATTCTGCCAGATATAATCCTGTGATGGGCATACCAGTGGACAGTCTTGTCCTGATATCATTCTTGAAGTCCCTCAGGCCCTTACATTGACTGACTGACTGTGCTAACCCCACCTAGTAGCCAGGCCCTTTTGCATTTCATTCCAGGCCCACCCTCTGTCCCATGCCCCAGCCTCAGCCTCTGTCTTTCCTGGGATGCCCCTTTCACGCCTCCTGGATACCAGTCTCGAGCCTCCATGCCAGCTGCCATTCTCCTGCCCTCCGTCGTGCTGTAGAGTGAAGCAAGAGAAATCGCTGGCCATTGTACAGTGTCTGCACAACGCTGTCTGGTAGATAGTGCCTTTCAACAAATGCAAAGTTGGGAATACAGGATTTTTTTTTGAAAAAAGTGCGTTACACTAGTAAGTATTCACGGCACACAAGCATATTAGAACTATGAATCCACCACAGGCTGACGTGAGGTTTTAACTCTGCATCAAAAGTCTTTGTTGGGAAAATGGGATTCTGCATCCCATCAATGTAGTCGCTCTGCTGTGTTTCCCACACGTGTGATTCTTTAAACACGCCCCTAGGTATTACTGCAGAACAGTAACTTGGTGACTTATGGATTGGGGGAAATGATAGGCACATCTGTTATTGTGGTGCACATGGGGAATGGAATCCTACCATTGCTGCTGTGACATTGGCACTGACTGGAAGACTTTGGCGTTTCTCCACATCGAGGTATTTGGGTTCAGGAGGACAGTAAAACCATGGAGGGCATTAAGCACAGATTCAGTGGCATGATACAGTGTCAGGAAACTGTGGTGACCATCAGAGACTTTAGAAGTAAATAGAACAGGCAAAGAGGAAATTCTGTGCGTGTTCATAAAAGAAAAGGAAAAGTTTTATTAGAGGGAAAATGGAAGGGCGGCTTCTTTGGGTTGCTGAGGATGTGGGTTGTTATTATAGAAAAGGGGAATGGGAGGGTTAATCCATTTTAAGTTATCGGTAACAGTGTGGGGAGTACAGTCAGATTTTGCTTTATGCAGGGGATTGCTGGTGAATGAAAAACTTTGGTAAACTGCGGTCAACACAAAGGGAAAATGGTGTGAATATTTGAGACAGAAGAGAACACAGGGCTTTGGTGAAATAGTGTGGAAGCTGGATCAGTATTGGAGTCCAACTCCAAACACTTACACCAGTTCAGTAAGTCAAATGGGTACCTGTGTCATAAACCCCAAGTGCTAAGGTCTGTGCTGCTTATTCCATTACGTATAAAGATGCAGTTGTTTTAAATGTTAGAGATCATAGAACCCCTACAGTGTGGAAACAGGCCCTTCGGCCCAACAAGTCCACACTGACCCTTGGAGCATCCCACCCAGACCCATTCCCCGATAACTGACCTAATCTACACATTCCTGAACACTAGAGGCAATTTAGCATGGCCAATCCACCTAGCCTGCACATCTTTGGACTGTGGGAGGAAACTGGAACACCCGGAGGAAACCCACACAGACACGGGGAAAATGTGCAAACTCCACACAGACAGTCGTCTGAGGGTGGAATCGAACCTGGGTCCCTGGCGTTGTGAGGCAGCAGTGCTAACCACTGAGCTACCATGCTGCCTGTTATGTGCTTGATTGTATGTATTGCTGATGAGTTTGATTTAAACACTGGGCTAATTTGACTTGCCCACTGTGCCAGCAGTCATGTTAAAAAGTGACCATAGGGAAACAATCAGGTTTCAACATCACAGCCCCCTGATTCTCCAACCCACGCTTCCTATAAGTGGGGCTCTCCTCTGGGAGCTCAGCACTGTGGACTTAGCCCTTCCATTTGGAAATCTGAAGCGGGTGGTTGAGTGTCGACCAGCAGATCTTTACTGGCGAATGTACTGCATTTTCTGAAAATTCTGTAGTTACTTTACAGAAAATAACTTCCCTTCCTGTGGGACCCTCAGTACACTCCAGCTGCAGATTTAGCCGTCTTAATCAGATTCTGATGGATTTCGATTTTAAAGCCAGGAAGGAATTAACTAAAACCAGAGCAATGCTAGCATGTGATCACATAGAGACGTAGATTCATACAGCACGGAAACAGACCCTTCGGTCCAACCAGTCTACGCTGACCATAATCCCAAACTGAACTAGTCGCACCTGCCTGTTCCTGGCCCGTATCCCTCCAAACCTTTCCTATTCATGTACCTATCCAAATGTTTTCTAAATGTTGTAACTGTGCTCACATCCACCTCTTCCTCTGGAAGTTCATTCCATATTCGAACCACTCTCTGCTTTAAATAAAGTGCTTCTCTTGTCTTTTGTAAATCTTCCTCCTCTTATCTTTAAAATATGCCCTCTAGCTTTGAACTCCCGCAGCCTAGGGAAAAGACCTTTGCTTTTCACCTTATCCATGCTCCTCAGGATTTTATTAACCTCTATAAGGTCACCCCTCAGCCCAAAATACACAATGGATAACTCCTCAGTGTTATCACATGCAGTTCTATGCTGTTTCACTTTGCCACCCCAAGGTTTGGTCACACTTTGAAGGTGTTAGCTAGATTGTAAAGGTGATTCTTTCTCGGTTTTGAATCTTGGGGCACCCTGTGAGTGTGCATCATCAATGAATGTAGGAGCAGGTCAGTGGTTCCCTGGAGCTGATTTTTGCCCTTAGTGCCCCCCTAATACACTATCCTCTTCCCCTCTGATGGTTTAAATTTCGATGTAACCTCTAGAAATCTATTGAACATATTCAATCGCAAAGCTTCCATGCACAATACTGTGAATTGGGGATGAACTCTGGAAAGGTGTATAAGCAGCTGGCTTTGGTACAAAACACATTTAGCACACACCTGTTAAATGGCCAACACTTCAACCCAACTCCTGTTGGCAGATGATCGATCCCCAAGTGATCTTAAGCACCTCTGTTGCCTTTGATTGCCTGAACTAATATTTCAGCTTCTCCTTTCACTGCCTCCTATTATCGTCTTACTTCCCTTGGGAGCTTGCTGTGCCAAAATGGCTGCCGCATTTCCAACATAAACGGCTGCCAGTATTTCTGACCCTTTTGCACTCAGAGGCCTGGGGACAAGCTCCTTCAGTGACCAGAAATGATGGTGTTATTTGCAACGCCTACTCCTTGTCTGTATGTCTGTGCAGTGTGTAAACAGCACAGATCACAGCTTGGCCAGTCTGGACTTCTGAGGAACTGCTTGATACAGCAACATGATCTAACAACCACGTCTGAGGACAATTGCAAAGAGCAAAGGGCTTAATCCCTCCAGATGCTGAGTGTCTGCCTGCCTGATGGAGACAGAACTCCACTTTGAGCTGTCTAGCCACTCCCATTATTTTCCCTTTCATTTTTTTGTTTTCAAAGCCTGGTCTGACATATCCATAATCTCTCAAGAGGGATGCAAAATATGTGTTTAGATTTTACCTTCCACCTACCCTACCCTCAACTTCACTCCAGGTAGGTGGTGCTGTTTATCTTTCATGCTTGCTAATCCTTTGGAGCCTCTCCAATTCTGAGTTCATCGTTCTGTCTAATTTGGCACACTCCAGCCCAATTCCAGATATTCGCAGCTGTTAATAGTGGATTTGCCAAGTTTCCTTAAGATCATCACTTTTGGAATGACTTGCATAACTGAAGGCTCGCAGGAACCAAAGAGCAAAGCAAAACACTCTCGTTTTTGATTTGAGATCTCTCCCTTCGTTACACTTTCCTTTATGCATCGGTCACTTATTTTACATTGTATCATTTCCAGGCTTACTCTCTGCTTTTACTACAAGGTAAATACACCGATCCCACAGATGATGTGAGGGAATCAGTACTAAAGTTTGTAGCCTCATCAGTCACCAGCAGTCTCCTGGTGTGTGGCTCCTGCTGTGAGCTCAGGATTCATGAAAGAACCCATCTACATTATTTCAGCATTATTTCCTCGGTTCTGAGGAAGGGTCATTGGACCCAAAACGTTAACTCTGTTTTTCTCCTTCACAGATGCTGCCAGACCTGCTGAGCTTTTCCAGCAACTTCTGATTTTGTTCCTGATTCACAGCGTCCACCGTTCTTTCGGTTTTATTGTAGCAGGTCTCTGTTCACAGTGATTATGTGGTTGTCAGTGTTGAACGCATAGTGCTGGCTCCAATTCCAAACTGGTACCACTGGATAATTACATCACAGTTTGTAAAGATGCTGATGACACCGTGGATTGCGGTATGAGCTGCACAGGTGCATCAGCATAAAACGCATGGAAACTGAGCTTACATCCTCTGTCCACAAAGTGTTCTTTGAACCTCTACAACCAATTCCTACCCAAAATATCTTGAGGTGATCTTACGTGACATGGTTTTATTCCCAGCTTCAAACTGGCGTATTGCTCATGTAGATTGACCAGCCTGATTATCCTTCTACTCCCTCAAGGTGGATACGGTACAAATCTTCAAAATTATGAAAGATTCAAACAATATACATCCAAAGCTCTTCTGCTGTGTACAGTGTGTAAGAATAAAGAGTCCGACTGTAAAAGCAGAGGACAACAGGCACTGGAGGAAGAACACACTTATTTTAACCAGAAACTGATAGAACAGATTGTAGTAAAGTCCCACTGTTTGTGGAGGGCATAAGTTGCAGAAAAATGTACTTGCGAACGGTGCAATTGTAAGTGGCAAGAATTTAATGAACTGACATGAGTGTTGTAATCAGAAGTTTCAGTGAGTTTAAAGAAGGAATGAAACTATTTTTTGTCCAGAATGGGTTTTGAGGTCATTAGAAATGCATCGATTCAGTGGGCAGATGGGCCAATGGTCTCTCCATCTGCCCAGTTGTTTTACTCTGTAAATAGGTGGACCTTGTGGAGAATTCCTGTGTCCATGATTTCAGAGCAATGTGTTCCTACTGCATGCGTTGGTTTAATTGCAACTTTCAGCCTCTGGTCAGACATAGAAAGTTTCCTAACTGTTGCCTTTGACCTGGAGTTGTCTGTGAGATCGACAAATACAGGTATTAGTTGGAAATAGCTGAACATTACAAAGCACGTAGGTTTTTAAGCTCTGGGATCTGTTCTCCATTCACTATCAACTGATCTGTGATGGGAAATGTGATCCTTGTTATCCAGCGTTACCTTTGTTTTGACATTATTCCACAGGCCCAGCCAATTCCAGACGAACTCGTCAAAAAGATCCTTGGGAACCGAGCCACGTTTAGTCCGATAGTGACTGTGGAACCCAGAAGAAGAAAATTCCACAAACCCATTACTATGACGATCCCGGTGCCACCTACATCAGGAGGAGATGTTTCAAATGGATACAGAGGGGAAACACCAAGTCTCAGACTGCTGTGCAGTATAACAGGTTGGTTTGCCCTCGTACTGTTTGACACAAAATCAATTGAAATGCTGAGCAAGCTGTGACTTTTTTGTTATTATTCACTCATGGGATGTGGGCGTCGCTGGCTGGCCAGCATTTCTTGCCCATCCCTAGTTGCCCCTTGAGAAGGTGGTGGTGAGCTGCCTTCTTGAATCACTGCTGTGGGTTGACCCACAATTCTCTTAGGGAGGGAATTCCAGGATTTTGATCCAGCGACAGTGAAGGAAGACGATATATTTCCAAGTCAGGATGATGAGTGGTTTGGAGGGGAACATGCAGGGGGTGGTGTTCCCATATATCTGCTGCCCTTGTCCTTCTAGATGGAAGTGGTCGTGGGTTTGGAAGGTGTTGTCTGAGGATCTTTGGTGAATTTCTGCAGTGTATCTTGTAGATGGTATGCACTGCTACTACTGAGCGTCAGAAGTGGCAGATCAAATCAAATATATAGTTTTGTTCTTCATTCTTAGCATGTGGAAGTTGCTGGCAAGACCAGCCTTTATTGCCCATCCCTAATTGCCCTGGAGAATGTGTTGGAGAGTCACCTTCTGGAGCTACTGCAGCCTATAACATTTAGGTACTCCAATGCACTGTTAGGAAGTTCCTGGATCTTAAATCAACAACACAGAAGGGACAGTAATGGTTTGAAGGGGAACTTATAAGTGGCAGTATTGCCATGTACCTGTAGTCTCTGTTTGCCCTGGAACTGAGTGACTTGTTAGGCCATTTCAGACAGCAGCTCAGAGTCAACCATATTGCTGTAGGCCACAGATAAGGACAGCAGGTATCATTCCCAAAAGGACATTCATGATCCAGAAGGGCTTTTCTGACAGTCAACAGTGGTTTTCATGGTTGCTATAAACTTTCAGTTCCAGATTTTATTAAATTCAGATTTCATCATGGTGGGATTTAAACCCACGTACTGAGAACATTAGCCCAGAGTTCTGCATTGCTAGCCTGCGATATTGTCTCTATGCATCTGCCTCCCCTGTTGCTGTAGCTTTACCAATCCAGACAAGTGGAGAGTACTCCATCACAATCCTGAAGTGATTAAACACCAGTGTTGTTGCAACCTACCTCGTAACAGTTAGCCTTTACACAACTGTCCCAGTATTCGTCTTAGACACAGGTAACTTGTTACAGCACCTGGAGTTGTGATGAAGGTGGCAATAAACTACCTAGTTTCCTTCGAGATTCCATGTTTCCATCTGTATTTGATTTGATTTAGTATTGTCACACGTACCGAGATACAGTGAAAAGTATTGTTTTATATGCTATCCAGACTAATCATACCTTACGTGAATACATCAGGTAATAGAACAGAATATGGAATATAGTGTTACAGCCACAGAGAAGGTGCAGAGAGAGATCAACTCGAATATATGAGAGGTCTGTCCGTAAGTCTGATAACAGCGGGGAAGAAGTTGTTCTTAAATCTATCGGTGCGTGTTTCCAAACTTTTGTATCTTCTGCCTAACGGAAGAGGGTGAAAGAGAGTATAACTGGGGTGGGAGGGGTCTTTGATGATATTGGCTGCTTTCCCAAGGCAGTGGGAAGTATAGATGGAGTCACTGGAAGGAAGGTTGGTTTGTGTGATGGACTGGGCTGTGTTCACAACTGTCTGTAGTTTCGTGCTGTCTTGAGCAGAGCAGTTGCCATACCACACTGTGACACATCCAGATAGGATGCTTTCTGGTAGATTAAATTGCTATTTATTTCATATTCCAGGAATAAAGCATTATCATTGTTGTGCTGTGAGGTAGCCAAAAGCTCACATTGCTTGTTCTTATGGCTGTCATTTTCTCTCTTTACTTGGTAGGAGGTACATCACCTGCTCAGTGGGAAGAGATCACAGGAACAACACCATTAACCTTTGTGAACGATGCTGTCTCTTTCACAACAAACGTTTCAGCCAGGTACAGTTTTCCAAAGCATTTCCCCTTGCTAAGCACCAAGTCTTTTTAGCTGGAGGGCACAAAGGATGTTCCTTCAGTTATCAATACTTTCAACCAAATTTGCTTAACCTGTGATGAAAGTAGCCAAACTACTTTATCGAGCCTGTTTGCAAAGACAAATGGTCAACAGTGTTACTATTTTAACAAGGAGGGCAGTTTGTCAGGAATACCTGTTTGGATTTTAACCTTTGTCCTGTCCATGCAGATACATGTTCAGCCTCAATGATGTTTCAGTCTTTCAGTTCTCAAAATTAATGGCTCTTTTCGTTCACTCTGCAAGTGATCTGTTACATAGTGTTTTAATTGTATTAGTTGCTGCTTTGAATACGTTCAAAGTGAAATTTAACTCATTGTTTCAATTCTGAATTTGCTCTTTTTATTTTGTGTTGCTTAATTTAAATCATTCCTAGTGGACTGTATTCCACTAGAGATTTTAAGAGCCTTTTTTAAAATAAGGCTTGTGAAAGAAATACCAAGGAAGAACATGAAGACATTTCCATCAAAATGCGAACAAGCCCGGGTGTTCAAAATCCGAATTAAAATGGCCAATAGCCCTCATTCGTTTTGGATAAGAAATGGAAGAAAATCACTTTGGGAGTCTGATCCTTTAAAACTGCCCCATAGTGGCAGAGTTATTTTGAACTGCCCTCATTACACTGTACCCTCTCTGTTGGCCATTACACACTAAATCACTTCACAACTTCCATGTTAGGAACGAATATCGGCTCGTCAGGCCTTCTCCACCATTCAATAAGATCAAGGCTGACCTGATTCCTCCGTATTCCCGCCTGCACCCGATGATCTTTCACCCCTTTGCATGTCAAAATCCATCTATTGCAGTCTTAAAAATACTCAGGTGCTATTTCCACCACTATTTCAAGAAGAGAATTCCAAAGACCCATGATCTTCTGTGACAAATAATTTTTCCTCATTTCTCTCTTAAGTGGGCAACTCCTTACTTTTATGCGGTGGTCCCTGGTTCTAGATTCTCCCATGAGAGCAGACATCCTTTCAACATATTGGTTATCAAGACCCCTCATGATCTTGTATATTTTAATTGCTGCCTCTTACTCCTCTAAACTTGAGTAGGTACAAGCCTAGTCTGTTCAAGCTAGCATCAAAAGACATACCCCTCATTCTAGGAATTAGTCTGGTGAACCTTCTCTGAACTGCTTCCAGTGTATTGATATCCTTACTTAGATACGGAGACTGATACACACACATGGTATTTCACATGTCGTCTCACCATTGCCCTCTATAACTAAAGTATACCCTCCCTACTTATGTACTCAATTCCCCTCATAATAATAACATTCTGTCAGCTTTCCGGATTACTTGCTGCACCTGCATACAAACGTTTTTGAGATTCATGCCCAAAGACACTCAAGTCTCTGCATCTCTGAGCTCTCACCATTTCGACAGTATGTTTTTTTTTAAATTCCTCTTGCCAGAATGGGCAACTTCATTTAGACATTTTCCCACATTATACACCAATCTGCCCAATCTTTGCCAACTCACTTAACCTATCTATATCTTTTTGCACACTCTTAATGTCCTCTTCACAACTTACTTTCCTACCAGTCTTTGTGCCTCTCAGCTTAATTCGTAATTACTGCCATTTGCATAAACATTCCATAAAGATTAAACCAAGTTCCTGTATTTTAGTGAAGTCAGACTTTAGAAAATGCTTTTTTGTTGTTGAGACCAGTTATCCCATGCCCACTATTGTCTCTGCCTGACTTCTGAATTCTGACCCTTTCGGTATGCGCGATGTCCACATTATTTATTTACAACAAACAATTTTCAAAACTACTAAATCTGCTTCAAGTACAACTATAACAGATCTTCATGACAGTTTTGTTCACTAGAAAGGTGTCCGGCATCCAAACAAACTCAAAGACTCTTAGCAACTTCTGTTACACTCCTAAGTTCGCATCTCTTTAATTTTTTTTGATGTAGGAAACAGATAGTGACCGTTTTCATATTTAAATATTGTGGGGAAAAAAGCCCTAATTGTGCAGGATGTGCTCAAAATGTGACTGCATTAGCAAGCCAGTTGTTTTTTATTTTTGGTTCCGAATGGATAATTATCGACTTTCAAAAGAAATGGGACCAGAAATGATGTCCGATAAAATATTCATGTGACCTGGTTTCAGACGGTCATTTGCTGTCTCCTGTTTTGTCTGATCAAGTGTGTTGATATGAACATGCGCCAAGTGCAAAAGATCTCAGTGATCTTCCTGTTTGTATGTTTCTGTGCACAGGTTTTGGCTGGTTGATTGTCGTCAGGTGCCAGAGACTGTTAGCTTAGCGACACAGCTCTACAGGGAGTTAATCTGTGTCCCGTACATGGCCAAATTTGTTGTGTTTGCCAAAATGCACGACCCCGTGGAGGCCCACCTGCGCTGCTTCTGCATGACCGACGACAAAGTCGACAAGACGCTGGAGCAGCAGGAAAACTTCACCGAAGTGGCTCGGAGCAAAGACATCGAGGTACGGTCTCGCCTCTCACTCTGCCTTTTAGTTTCGCACGGGAGAGGCAGCGATCCTCGGAGAGCTGTGGCAGCTTGCTCAGGACCACTTCTGCGCACAGAAACACGACCAACCTCTAGATTCCCCAACTGTTGATTTTCTTTTTGTTTTCTGTTGCAGTGTTGCGCGCACACTTAGAAGGACTCAGTCAGGTAGTCGTGGGGAATCCTCCCTCTGATTGGGGAATCAAAAATGTGGGGAGAATCTGGAGCTGGGTCATTAAGGAGTGTGTTCAAACAGCCCTTTTTTTTGTACCAAGAAGAGTTGAAGCCTTTCCCCTTTAAAAGCTGCCTCTACTGAAGGTTTATTGGAGCTTTCAGATGGGTTGATAGTATTGAGCGACCCGGATCCAGGGCAGATGAATGGGGTCGAGATACAGACTGGCAGGCACTATTTAAATGGTCGCCATGATGTGGAGATGCCCGTGTTGGACTGGGTTGGAAGGTCAGAAGTTGCACGACACCTGGTTATAGGCGAACAGGTTTATTTGAAATCACAAGCTTTCGGAGTGCTGCTGCTTCATCAGGTGACTTCACTCCAAAAGCTTGTGATTTCAAATAAACCTGTTGGCCTATAACCTGGTGTCGTGTGTCTTCTGACTTATTTAAATGATGGCACCGGCTCATGCGTCTGATTGGGCGAATTGTCACCAGTTTATGTTTGCCTTGATCTTTCCCTCCCATTCTGCCTTTCATTTGGAGCCCCATCCCCTCCCCACTTGCCCGCCAGAGACCCCACTAATGCACCTGGTACTTAATCTAATAAAAGGGAAAGTGGTGATGGCCCAGTGTTATTATCACTAAACTGATAATATAGAAACCCAGCTCATTTGCTGGGGACCCGGTTCGAATCCACCACAACAGGTGGTGAAATTTGAATTTAAAATCCCCTGATGATCATGTCACCATTGTCAGTTGTCGGAAGAACGCACCTGGCTCACCATTGCCCTTTAGGGAAGGAAATCTGCCGTCCTCACCTGGTCTGGCCTACATGTGACTCCAGACCCATAGCAATGTGACTGGCTCTCAACTGCCCTCTGAAATGGTCAAGCAAGCCACTTAGTTGTATCAATCGCTACAAAGTCTCAACAAACAGGCCACCTGGCATTGACCTAGGCACCAGAAAAGACAACGGCAGAAACAGCCCTGTAGACCCTGCAAGGTCCTCCTCACTAACATCTGGGGGTTAGTGCCAAAATAGGGAGAGCTGTCTCACAGACTAGTTAAGCAACAGCCTGACATAGTCATACTCACAGAATCATACCTTACAGGCAATGTCCCAGACACCGCCCTCACCATCCCTGGGTATGTCCTGTCCCACCAGCAGGACAGACCCAGCAGAAGTGGCAGCACAATGGGATACAGTCAGGAGAGTGTTGCTCTAGGAGACCTCAACATTGACTCCAGACCCCATGACCTCAGATTAATCATGGGCAGGGAAACCTCCTGCTGATTACCACGTACCGTCCTCCCTCAGCTGATGAGTCAGTACTCCTCCATGTTGAACAACACTTAGAGGAAGCACTGAGGATGACGAGGGCACAAAATGTAGTCTGGGTGGGGGATTTCAATGTCCACCAGCAAGAGTGGCTCAGCAGCAGCACTAGAGATCAAGCTGGTCGGGTCCTAAAGGACATAGCTGCTACACTGGGTCTATGGCAAGGGGTGAGGGAAAATCATACTTGATCTCATCCTTACTAATCTGCCGATACATCTGTCCGTGATGGTAGCATTAACAGTGACCATCGCACAGTCCTTGTGGAGACAAAGTCCCGCCTTCACTATGAGAACAACCTCCATCGTGTTGTGTGGCACTATCACCGTGCTAAATGGGACAGACTTCGCACAGATCTCGCACCTCAAAACTGGGCATCCATGAGGCACGGGGGGCCATCAACAGCAGCAGAATTGTACTCCAGCACAATGTGTAACCTCATGGCCCGGCATATCCCCCACTCAACCATTACCATCAAACCAGGGGATTGACCCTGGTTCAATGGAGAGTGCAGGAGGGTATGCCACGAGCAGCACCAGGCATACCTGAAGTAGAGGTATCAACCTGGTGAAGCCACCAGCAGGACTACTTGCATGCCAAACAGCGAAAGCAGCAAGTGATAGACAGAGCAAAGAGATCCTACCACCAATGGATCAGATCTAAGCTCTGCAGTCCTGCCACATTCAGTTGTGAATGGTGGTAGACAATTAAACAAGTCACTGGAGGAGGAGGCTCCACAAATATCCCCATTTCTGCAGGAGATCCTCAGGGTAGTGTCCTAGGTCCAACCATCTTCAGCTGCCTCACCGGTGACCTTCTGACCATCATAAGGTCAGAAATGGGGAATTTTGCAGATGATTGCACAATGCTCAGCACTCCTCAGATACTGAATCAGTCCGTCTTCATATGCAACAAGATCTGGACAATATCCAGAAGCAAAAACAGAAGTTGCTGGAAAAGCTCAGCAGGTCTGGCAGCATCTGTGAACAGAAATGTGAATGTAGACAATATCCGGCTTGGGCTGATGAGTGGCAAGTAACATTCGTGCTACACAAATACCAGACAATGATCATCTCCAATAAGAAAACAATCTAAGCACTGCACCTTGACATTCAATGGTTTTACCGTCACTGAATCCCCCACTATCAACATCCTTGGGTTAGCATTGACCAGAACCTCAAGTGGACTCACCACAAAAACACTGTGGCTTCAAGAGCAGGTCAGAGGCTAGGAATACTGTGGCAAATAATTCACCTCCTGACTCCCCAAAGCCTGACCACCATCTACAAGGCACAAGTTAGGAGTGAAATGGAGTACTCCCGACTTGCCTGGATGAGTGTAGCTCCAACAACACTCAAGAAGCTCGACACCATCCAGGACAAAGCAGACCACTTGATTGGAACCACGTCCAAAAGCATCCACACTCACCACCACCAACGCTCAGTAGTAGCAGTGTGTACTAGCTACAAGATGCACTGCAGAAATTCACCAAAGATCCTCAGACACCACCTTCCAAACCCACGACCACTTCCACCTAAAAGGACAAGGGCAGCAGACATAGGGGAACACCACCACCTGCAAGTTCCCCTCCAAGCCACTCCCCATCCTGACTTGGAAATATTTTGCCGTTCCTTCACTGTCGCTGGGTCAAAATCCTGGAATTCCCTCCCTAAGGGCATTGTGGGTCAACCCACAGCACCAGGACTGCAGCGATTCAAGAAGGCAGCTCACCACCACCTTCTCAAAGGCAGCCAGGGACGGGCAAGAAATGCTGGCCCAGCCAGCGACACCCACGTCCTACAAATGGATAAAAAATTAATTGACAGGGTCCAGGATGAATGCAGGTGGAAGCCATACTCGGATTCAAGTTCTGTAGCTTGTGCTCCACTGTCTGAATAGAGAACTCATTAAATCATTTTAAGGAGTCTTTGAAAAATACTGTAGGGTTTTTGTTGGTCCAGGACTGGGATTTTAAATGGCTTTGGCGTTAAAGATCGTTGTTGTTCCGTATGTTTCCGCGAGTGAGCTGGTCAGAATAGCTGACACCTTCCTTCAGTCACTGAGTTGTGCATGTTTGTAATCTTGTGAACAGGTTCTGGAAGGTAAACCCATCTTTGTGGATTGCTATGGAAACCTGGTCCCCCTCGCCAAAGCAGGCCAGCAGCTGGTGTTCAACTTCTATGCCTTCAAAGAAAATCGGTTGCCCTTTGGTGTGAAGGTAAGCAAGCAACAACAACTTATTGATGCAACATGTTAGTGACACATTACTGGACTGTAGTGAGCCAAAGGAAGAGGAGGTGACATCAGAACAGGTGATCAGTAGCTTGGTTCAGTGTTCTCTCCTGTGGGCCAGTTGTCATAGATTCAGGCCAGATTTTGTGCTGCATTCTCAGAGCTTCCGTGTATACGATGGAATGTTCAACTAAGGTCTAAGTTCTTAGCTCAGGTGAAGATCTCCCTGCACTATTGCAAGTGAACCAGATAGGTTTTTCCAGCATCCTGGCCAAGTCTCTTGGCTAACGCCATCAAAAACAGATTACCTGCTCCTGAAGAGCTATTAGGGCCAAGTGGCTGAAAACCTTGTCAAAGTCGGGGGGAGTGTTAAGGAACGTCTTAAAGGAGCAGGATGAGGCAGAGAGATTTTAGCAAGATAAATCGAGAGTTTAAGGTTCGGATGACTGTCCCTGTTGAATAGAACTGGGAATGTACGAGGGAAGCAGCAGCAATAATTACCACTTTGTTAGGCTAATGTGTTCAGGCAGAGATTGATTTGAATGTTTTGGTGCTAAACACCTCCCTCGTGGCTCCTGCCCCAAGCAAGACATAATAGCGACTTTGTATAAGTGAGTAAGGACGAGGCACGTGGCCTTTGTCTGAAGCTTTGTATCTATTTTGAAACTCCATCTAAATGTGCCATGAGAGATATAACCTTTGTGCTATTTTTAGATGCTAATTTAGTGGGCTTTCATTTGAAACTCCAGCTGATGATGATAAGGATGTGGTGACCAGTCTAGCACACTTCCAATTCAAAACCCTTTGCTATAAAATAGTGGTTTCTTTATGTGTAGCTGAAAGCAGCATAGGAATGCTGTGTGACAAAGACAACTTGATCTAGTACTAATCAAGATGAAAGTGTGAACTGCGTCCGTATTGACCATTTAATGTCCTTCGGGCTTCTGTACAGTTATTGAATTGTATTCGTTGTTGTATTGTAGGGTCGCAGAGCAGCTAATTGGGCACTGCAAGATCCCACGCAATCTGCTGATGATGAGCAGATCATTGATTTTCCGGCTGTTGGTTTCGGATAAACAATGTGGGACACATCTCCCTCAGTACTCATTGTGCAGTAAGTGCTGCCCTGTGCCTGCTGGTTCTGAAGGCCAGCACACAGTGCATAGCAAGATCCCACAAACAGCCAACGAGATGGCTCGCTGGCTAGGTGGCTTCCAGCTATGTTGGTCGATCCAAGACAGAGAGCTCAACTGTGTCGCCTGTTATGTAACATGAAATGCTCCTTAATTCCAGGTCCGAGACAACAGCCAGGAGCCTTGCGGTCGCCTGTCATTCCTCAAGGAACCGAAGACATCCAAAGGATTACCACAGGCAGCAATCTGTAATCTGAACATAACCCTGCCGGCCCACAAAAAAGTATGTGCAAAGACTTTAACAACCAGGTCTTCTTTTGAAGAGAGAAAGCTTCCTTAATTTGCTAAAGAACCTTTAGAAGTTAGAAACACTGTTCTATTGTAAGATTCTCCGCCTTCTTTTACAGTTTTATTCTTCTCTCAAGACAGTTGTCTAGATGAAAGCGTGGTTTCTTTATGAAGCCCTCATGCTGGTCACTAATTCAGAAACCTATACTGTAGCATTTTCCATCATTTGTTTTGAACTGTGTGTGTGTGTGTGCGCGTGTGTGCGTGTGTGTAAATAAAATCATTAAACATTTTGGTTTTGCTAGCTTTGGGCTTGTGTTGATCTTGTGCTAATCAGCTTGCCTTCTTTCCTACCGACTGGATCCTTCTTTCACATCTGGTGTTTCTTTTCCCTGCTGTCCATTATAATACTCCCTGTCTCTGCAATGCTTCTTGGGACCATAAGGAAACCGAATCTGATCCAGATGAAGAGGTAAAGGAAAATCTGATAATCTGTGTAAAACCTTGACAACTTTCGAGTTATTGCATGGGACAGTGTGCAACTGGGTTCAGCCAATTCATACCAGTGGTCACCCTGACTTTTCCTCACATCAGTGTCAATTGGCCAAACTTCTAAAGCTGGATCCTATTGGAATAGGCAAGCTCCTTCAATTTCTCTTGGCAATTATGAAATCAACTAGCAAAATGGTCTTTTTTTTGTGTGTGTGATCCAATTCATTTTCCCAGATTGTTAAATTGTTGGGAATTTTTTTTTGAAAGACTGAAATTATGCATTGGTGTCATGGCACCTACCTCAGTGCTGTGGAGTGAAGCACAGTATGATATTGTTAAGTTGCTACTGGAGAGTGAGGAAACATTAGTCTGTGTTGTGAGGATTGGCTCAGCTGCTGTGCTCAATAGTTGCATCCTGTTTGTGCTTATTAACCAATATTCCTGTGTGTTTTATGCTGGAATAGAGTCCCAAGCCGTGTGAAGCTGGGACTTAATTCACTTCACGGCTTCCTATACCAGCATTAATCACCAGAGAATTTGTTGTTAAATCAAGTCACTTTGAAGGAAGAAAATTGTAACACACACTCACACTAAAACCAATCGGTTTAACCGGGCAGAAAGCTAACACGCACTTACTTGTAGCCGCAACTTTCACAGAAGCAACGTGTTTGAGCCCAGAACGATACCTTGCGTCCAGGCTATTTTTGTGAGCTCCTTTGCCTTTGAGCGGTGAGCTGGTGCTGTGAAATTCCGTTCGTGTTTCTGTTCACGATTTGTCCATCCCGTTAACATCCGGGAGAGACCCAGCAATGCAACAGTGAGCTCTCGTCAAAAGGACGCACTGCTGCCGAAAAATGAGAGCACAGCTTGCCCTCATTCACGCTGAGCTGTGCTCCGCTGGAAGCTGAAACAGCCGTCCCCTGCAGGAACAGCATTTTGCACTGTCCCAACGTGGCCTGGCATTGAGAGTGACAACTGGGAGAGTCATGGACTGTGCCATTCTGCCCTTGGAGTAGGGGGGAAGCAGCAGTGTTACATCTTTAAAGAGGAATGAATGGTGTTATGACTAATCTGAAGGTAATTAATGGAAAAGTGAGTCACTTCATTTCTTAAAACATCCTGGCTGTATATTGTTGGGGTGAAAAGTGGGAGATGATTTGCCTGCTAAATCAGGACGCATATTGCTCCAGTTAGCGCTTTAGAAACAAGGGAAGTAGGTAACTTTAGCCTGTTCTGCTGCTCAGTATGAACATGGCTGATCAGTTTTATTCATCCACTGGATGAGGGTGTTGCTGGCTGAGCCAGCATTTACTGCCCATCTTGCCCAGTTAAGAGTCAACCACATTGCTGTGGGTCTGGAGTCACATGTAGGCCAGACCAGGTAAGGATGGCAGTTTCCTTCCCTAAAGGACATTAGAGAACCAGAGGGGTTTTTTTTTCCAACAATCGGCAATGGATTCACGGTCATCATTAGACTTTTAATTCTAGACATTGTTTTATTAATAAATTGAAATTCCACCATCTGCCGTGGCGGGACTCAAGCCCAGGTCCCCAGAACGTTACCTGTGGTCTCTGGATTAATGGTCCAGCGATAATACCACGTGGCTACCCCTCCCCATCCATCTCAATTCCCTGTTCCTGCTTTTTCCCTGTACCCCTTGATCTCTTTTAAGTCACAAAATTCTGTGGAGAGGAGTGGCATCTTTGTGAAATCTCATCTAAGATATTTTGATTTGGATTGTGAAATGGCTTCATGTCGTCTTTTCCCCCCAGGCCGAGAGAGCTTCGGAACGTCGTCAGTCTTTTGCGTCCATGGCGTTGCGCAAGCGTTATAGCTATCTTGCGGAACCTGGAATGAGTGAGTCTCGTCTTCTTTCTGTTTGGTATTATTTGATGTCTGTTGACGACCTCTTAATTCTAAAACAAAGCCCATAAATAATTGAAGTTGCGTTGTATTTTACCATAGTTGTCTGTCTATATGTATATCTGGAACGCAAAGTCCAACTTTGATTTGCAAACTTCCACTCAAGTTACTTTACTCCATTGCATTTCATTTTTGTTTTTGTATACGTGTATATGATTTGCTGCTCAAATGAAAGTTGATTCCATGCTGATGGTGATGTACCCTTCTGTATTAGGCATCTGAAGTTCAGTTTCTCGAGCAGTAACCCCAGTAAAAATGAGAGCATGCGTCCATCCTGGGTGGGTCACTGTTTAATCCGAAAATGCTAAAGGTGCCACAGGTTTGGGCACCTGTCACCAATTTAAAGGCAACGTGACTGTAAAGTTTCGCCTAAAACTCAAACTAAGGTTAGCATGCTGGACAGAGAAATGGAAGGAAAGTAGGCTTGCCTTTACGTAGCGCCTTTCACAACCTCAGGCTGTCCCCAACGTATAGTACAATTAGTGAAGTGCAACCACTGTTGTTATGCAGGAAATGAGCCCATTGTGAGTACAGTAATATGGAGCAAACAGCCACAAGTTAATCAGTTTTTCATGATAAATTGTGACCAGGACTCCTGACTCACTCTCAACTCTTTGAAGCGGGACCACTGGATCATTTACACCCACTCTAGAGACCCCCCGGTTTAACGTCTCGTCTGAAAGATGGCACGTCCAGTGGTGCAGCCCTCCCTCAGTCCCACACTCCAGTGACAGTCATGATTTTGTTCTCAAGCCTCTGGTGTGACACTAGGACCTGTTACTCCTAATGAGTGCACTGCCAGTGAGCCAAGCTGACACTGTGAAATGAATTGAATTGAATTAGCTTCATTGTCACATGTACTGAAATGAAAAGTTTATAGTTGCCGTATTACAGCGCCATCTTAGGTACAAAGGTACAAATAGTTAACATCAAATTCTTAGGAAACAAAAAACAAATTAGAAAGGTAAAGAAGTAAGTAGTGCAATGAAATATATGGTCATTTTCAAATTGTTTCTGAAGCGTAGTACTCTTCGGATCGTGTTCATGTAGCAGAAGGTTTCAGTACCGCTGTATGATAGATTGACACTGTGTCAGATTGATCAGTAAAGATATTGGCATTTTGTGTTGTTTTACTGTTTCTGTTAAGATCATAACACTAACTGATCTTAATTATTCTTCCTCAGACATTAATCTGCTTAAGAAGGGAAAGGAATTTCTCTAGACGTGATAATGGAACAAAATAATTCAATGTTCCAAATTCTTCCACTGGTTTGAAAACATGGTTAAAGGCAGTGAGCAGGGGCATCATGGCTAGTGTAGCTTTCAGTCTCCTTTCGCAATTCTCGCTATTTGTTTCACATCTGTGCTTTATTTGTCTTTTCATCCCTAATTCTTGGTCCTATTTTTGTCTGCTGAAGTTGTTTCTGCATTGTGTGCCTTTGCTGCTTGGCTTATGTTACCGTTTGAGCATTTTTGTCACACATAGAGTAATGTGTGACTGTTCTTCCTGTATCAAGTAATTCAAATGGCTTTCTCACAGAATGAATCTCTGTACGTTTTAAAGAGTCTTTTGTACTTTTTCTTCCAGCTGGTTTAATCTGATTCACTGACCAAACGTTTTTTTTCTCTCTCTCTCTCTTTGTGGTCTTTCCGTTCCTTTAATTTTTCTCGTTGGTTTTTTCTCTTTCGTTGATTCATTTGAATTTTGTTTCCGAAACGTTTAAGAACTCATTGAACGGAGTACAGGAACCACCAGGTCTCTCCCCGCACCCTATTCCTACAAGCCAGTCTTTTCCGCGAGACCTTTCCAGTCCTGGGCAGCCGCCCCTGTTTCTGTAGCCGGAGTGGTGAAATCAGGGATTGCATCTCTGTCGAACTCGACGTCCAACACGCCGACGGCATCCCCGTTAAAGTCAGTCTGGTCTGTCTCTTCTTCTTCACCCATCAAATCAACCCTGGGAGCTTCCGCTACCTCCTCAGTGAGATCTGTGAGCGATTTAGCGTCTCCGATTAGATCATTCAAGTCGACGCCCTCACCTATCAAAACCGTAGTGACGCAGACTCAGTATTCTGTGAAATCCTCCTCCGCGTTGAACTCTTCGCCCGTGAAAGCGTTGGTAGCGCCGGAATCTCCGTCCGGGAAGGGGATAGCCGCTTCCTTGTTTTCCTCGCGGCTGTCACCCGCAACGACGGCGGGTTTGCTGTTGGAGAGATCCTCCATAACCATGACCCCGCCGGCTTCACCCAAGGCTGCTTTCAACGCGTACGCATCCCCGTCGCCCTTCAAGACCACCGCCGCGCCCACCGTACTGCCCTCATCTGTGAAATCGCTGTCCAGCTCGGGCTCCTCCCCTGTTAAGTCGGTCACTGACGCTGCGTTCTCGCCTTTCAAGCCGGCCACGCCGCCCAACGGCCAGGCAGTCGCCAAGGGGGCGGTGTCGCCGGTCAAGTATCCCCCGGCAACAGCTTTCTTCTGTGGCCAGGGGGCTGGCGCCACGCCTGAGAAAGCGCCGGGCGCTGCCCTGTCTGCCAAATCCGTTGCCATTGCCCAGGACGTGGTGGAGAAAGCCCAGCAAGCCGCCGCGACCGCCGTCGCCTTCTCCCCCCTTAAATCCCTGGTGCCCGCCACGGCTTCGGCCTTTCAGGCGATCCGCTTGCCACCCGCGGGGTCCTTGTACTCCACCCTGAGGTCTTCGTCTGTGACCACCACGTCTGTGACATCATCGACCATGACCGTACCGGTGTACTCTGTGGTGAACGTCCTGTCAGAGCCGCAACTGAAAAGACTCCCGGACGCCGGCCCCTTGACCAAGTCGGCTGCCGCGTTGCTACCGCCGGTAAAATCGTTGACGACAGAATCACACGCGCAGCCCCAGCCTCCGTTTACCTGCACTTTGTCCCCGCTGAAATCCTCCTTGTCTCTAGCCCCTTCGGCCCTGAAACTGGCGTCCGCCTCCACGCTATCCTCGAGTCAGGAAATTCTGAAAGACGTCGCCGAGATGAAGGAAGACCTGATGAAGATGACGGCCATCTTGCAGACAGACGCTTCAAGCGACAAGGCCTTCCCGGAGGTGTCCGCCAAAGTAGGGAGGAGCGAAGATGAGAGCGAGGAGCCATTTAAGCTGGTGAAAAAGGTGAAGGAAGACTTGGAGAAAGTCAGCGAGATCCTGCAGAAGGATGGCCTGAGCGAAACCAAGCATGGCACCGAGGGAGCTCAGACGAATGGCGATCTCTCGGGGGAGGGAGAATGGGTCACATTCGATTATGATAATGCCGAGGAAGCAAAGGAAAGGGCCAGTGAGGAACTGAGCACCTACGTGCACATGAAAGCCAAGAGTGGAGGTGAGAAGGACTTCAGTTTGGCGAGAGTCGTCGACTATTTGGCAAACGATCTTGGGATTGATACTTTCAGCAAGGTGGCCGACAAATATCGCCAAACTGACACCAAAAAGGAAGGCGAAGAAAAGATGTTCTCCAGAAGGGCTCAGAAGCCAGCAATGCCCTTGCCGGAGCATAAACTCAAAATGCCTCCATCTCCCATGCGCTCCTCTGCTTCCGAGAAGGAGCTGAGTAAACTGGCGGATGCAATGATGGTGACTGAAGTCATCCTCGAGTCACCAGATGACTTTTCCCAGCACGATCAAGATAAGAGCCCGCTGTCGGACAGCGGGTTTGAGACCAGGAGCGAAAAGACCCCCTCCGCCCCTCAGAGTGCAGAGAGCACCGGGCCCAAACCCCTGTTCCACGACGTTCCCATCCCTCCGGTTATCACGGAGACACGGACGGAAGTGGTGCGTGTCATCAGGAGCTATGAGCCTGATGAGACGCAGGAGCCCAAAATGGATGGGCTGCCTCCATCGCAAAGTCCAGAGATGTTCCCAAAGATGGAAGAGAAGCCGATTGGCTCGATCAAGGACAAGGTGAAGGCCTTCCAAACTAAAATGCAGCTGGAGGACGAGGACAGTAAAGGCTTGAGGGCCAAGGAGGTCCGTGTGAAAGAAGAGACCCATATTACGACAACCACGAGGATGGTTTATCACTCGCCACCCAGCCCCGAAAGCAAAGCCAGTGAAAGGATAGAAGAAACCATGTCTGTTCGCGATATCATGAAGGCTTTTCAGTCAGGCCGTGATCCTTCCAAAGAACTGGCCGGCCTGTTCGAGCACAAGTCAGCGGTTCCTTCAGAAAGCGGCAAACCTGGAGAGGCGGCCATGACGTTTCTTGAGAAGGAATCCAGTTTGAAGCCGAAAGTGGAAAGGATCATTGAGTTGCACATTGAGAAAGGGAACAAGGTGGATCCAACAGAGGTCATTGTGAGGGAGACAAAAACACACCCGGAGAGGGAGCTGTTTGTTTACCAGAAAGACGGCGAGGCGAGAGAGGCCAGGTTTGAGACCTGTCAGGACGAGCAGGGACAGCAAGAGGAAGAGGAGCTGACCGCCGAAGAATCACTTCCCTCCTACATGGAATCCTCGCGGGTCAACACGCCCATCTCCCAGGACGACGACAGCCGGCCCAGCTCAGCGCAGCTCGTCTCCGATGACTCGTACAAAACCCTGAAGTTGCTCACGCAGCACTCCGTCGAGTACCATGACGACGAGTACTCAGAGCTGAGGGGGGAGTCCTACAGGTTTGCGGAGAAGATGCTTCTCTCCGAGAAGATGGATGTTTCGCACTCTGACGCCGAGGAGTCGGCCTCCGAGCAACCCCAGCTCCTCGGCGCCGAGGCCCAGCCAATTGGCCGCCACGGGCGGAAGGGCGATCCGGCGCTGGAGGGGAGAGAGGTGGCCGCGCTGCACAAAGTGGCCTCCGACAGCACCGCCAGAGCTAGCAGCCAGGAGGAGGCCTACGAGAAGGTCGCCCTGCTACACTACCCACCAGAGCCCGGCAGCCCCAAGCACGCCGTGTGGATGCGGTTCAGCGAGAACAGGCTCGACGGGGGCCAGGAGAAGCTCGCGTACGGGGACCGGGTGGACAGGACGGTGAAGGAAGCCGAGGAGAAGCTGACCGAGGTGTCTCAGTTCTTCCGGGACAAGACGGAGAAGCTGAATGATGAGCTGCAGTCGCCAGAGAAGAAGCCGCGCCGGAGGGAGGGAGCGCGGCCAGGGCCCGGTTCCGCTGCCAGCGGCAGCCCCGAGAGGCTCCGGCTTGGTGACATCCCGCTGCGTGGCGAGGGGAGCCTGGAGAAACGGAGCGACCAGCCCTTCCGCAGGTACTCCGTGCGAGAGGAAGAGAAAAGGGACGCCGCCGAGCTGATGGCGGGCCCATCGCAGCCAACTCTCTCCGGCCCTCCGGAGGGAGTGAGGGAGAAAACGAGGCAGAGCGAGGATCTGTCGCAGCCGGCGGCCCATTCCAAGCAGGCCGGAAGCCACCCCTCGCAGAGAAGCAGCGATGCCCCACACAGTCCCCAGTGGATCGAGCAGGCCGAGCGAGGCGAGCGCACCAGCGGAAAGCCCCGGAAGTTTGCTGGCCCTCACGCTTCCAATCAAGACGATGGCGACGAGGTGGGGGGAGGAGGAGCGAGCCTTCCGGAAAAGAAACAACAGGAAGGGCCGCAGAACCTACCCCTGAAGAGAGGGCGGGAGAGCAAGCTGCCAATCTACCAGTTCTCACTGAAAGATGGCAGCCAGAAGATGGCCGCAGAGGGGGCCATCTTGACCATAAAGGAGGCGTATGCCAGTAAGCTGAAAGACCTCAGCTGCCTGAACATCGCCAGTGAGCCAGCTCCGTCAGCGCTTCAGAAGATGGTGGACGCTGTGCCGGATGTTTCCCAATTCCCGACCACTGTTCCCAAGCCGCTGACATTCGGCGCGAAAGGGGCGGTGTGGTTGCCCGAGAGAGAGGCAGCGTTGAGTAAAGAATCTGAGCCCCAGGGCACATCTGAGAAGGAGAGAAAGGTTTACCGGACTTGGGAGAGCTGTGGGAATTCCCACCACAAACTGCACCGGGACAAGCTGGCACACGTGCTGGTGCAGGACAGTCTAAAGGAAAACGACGTTGTCCACGTGGAATTCAATGTCAATGGACACCTACCGGAGAAAGTCGGCCCTTCAGTAATGGAGAAGGAGTTCCCGGCAAATAACAGGCCTTCAGTAAAAGAAGAGGCTACGTTGCCGTCTCCTTCTAAGAAAATGGTTTACACTGAGCTTGTTAAGATAGAAGAGGGTGACGATGCCGGCGAGCACACGAGAGGAAGAGCCGCGAGGAAGGAGGGCTCCGGTCTGTCACAGATCCCAGTCAGAATCTCCGAGGAAAAGCTCAAACTGGGAGCCAAGATGGCCGAATGCAATGGCGATCTGGTGAAAACCCACAAGACCGAGCTGGTCACCAGTGCGTCCAACGTGACCCTCGGTCGGAGCAGGAAAGGGAAGCAGCTTTCCGAAGGGGCGGACACCAGCATTCCGACTCCTGGCTCCAACAGCTACGGTGAGCACACGGACGCGGATGGTAGCCGAGAGGATCTGGAGACTTCCCCAGTCAAGTCGCCCGACTCTCTGGAGTTTAGCCCGGTTAAAGACGCAGCGTTGAGTGAATTCTTCGATCGGAGCCCGGTTGAGTATTTGGAGAAAGGGGCGCCACTAGCCAGCATCGAAGGATTCAAGGAGATAAAGACCTTGCCGGTGTACGTCAGCATCGTGCAGATGGGCAAGCAGTACGAGAAAGAAATGGCGGGCCCACCTCAAGGAGCTTTCAAACGGATGATCAGCCAGGAGAGCAGGACGGTGCAGGAGACCCGTGGCATCTTTTACACTGCCCGCCAGCACAGGCAGCCATCTTCGTCCCCTCAGGCCAGTCCAGAAGACGACACCTTGGAGCAAGTCTCGCTCATCGAAAGTTCTGGCAAAAGCCCCCTCACCCCGGAAACCCCCAGCTCCGAGGAAATCAGCTACGAGCTCTCCACCCAGTTGCCGACGGTGCACGGGAAGCCAAGCCCTATCCCCGAAGTGTCGGAAGAGTCCGAAGAGGAAGAGGCGGCTCCCAGGCCCGGGAAGATGGACGGGCGTGAGAAGCGGCCGAAGGAGAAGCGGGTGGCGTACATCGAGTTCCCTCCCCCACCTCCCATCAACGCCCTGGACAGCGAGGCACCTGGGAAGGGGGAGAGCCGAGGGCCTGGTCAGCAGAGGAGGGGACGCCTGCCCGGCTCCGAGGACGAACTGGACACCATCGAGCTGAACCTGCAGGAGGAGCACGACCAACACCTCCTGACAGAGCCGGTCATTCGGGTCCAGCCTCCATCGCCCACCCCGCCGGGGGCCGACGACAGCGACACCAGCAGCGACGAGTCCATCTTCCAGCCAGCGCCGCTCAAGAAGTACACCTTCAAGCTGCACGATGACAGCCCAGCGGGGGCCGCTCCTTCCACACGGCAGCCTGAACACTCCCCCCCTTGCCAGGATGACCACGATGCCTTTGGCCTGGACCCTCCCCTGGAGAACGACGCCGTCCCCAACGGCAACAACGACCAGTCGGTGACTGAGTGCTCCATCGCAACCACCGCCGAGTTCTCCCACGACACCGACGCCACCGAAGTGGACTCCCTGGATGGCTACGACCTGCAGGATGAAGACGATGGCTTCTCGGAGGCTGACTCTAAGTCCTTGAATCAGGGGATAGAAACAAAGATGGATGTTTGGGTCACTGAAGGGATTGTGAAGCAGGGGGATCGTTCCTATAGCCAGGGTAAACTTGCAGTGATTGAGGAAGAAGGAAAGGTAGGCGCTGACGAAGAAGCCCCCTTGCAGTCTAAAACTTCTGAAAAGAAAGGCGAAGGACAAACTGATGGTAAACCAGGAGCCGAGATCTTCACTTTGGAAGGCAGGCATCCTGACAGAACTCGCTTTAATGATACGTATTTTAGTTACAAACTAGAGGAAGAATTTGCAACCCCGTTTAAAACTGTTGCCACCAAAGGTCTTGACTTTGATCCATGGTCTAATGGCCGAGGGGACGATGAAGTCTTTGAAGCTAGGTTAAGAGAGGATGAGCAAAAAGCCTTTGGCTTAGCAGTAGAGGACAGGTCCCAAGCAACAACACCAGATACAACCCCAGCCAGAACCCCAACAGATGAGAGCACGCCAACTAGTGAGCCTAACCCCTTCCCATTTCATGAGGGGAAGATGTTTGAGATGACTCGCAGTGGTGCAATTGACATGAGCAAGAGGGATTTTGTTGAAGAAAGGCTCCAATTTTTCCAAATTGGTGAGCATACTGCTGAAGGGAAGTCAGGGGACAAGGGGGAGAGGGTTAAAAACACACTTGTAGTCACAAAACTGCTTCAGTCAGGGGACAACACATCTGAGGTGTCAGTAGATCCACCAAATGTTAAGCACGAGAGAGCCCAGGCTAGCGGAGAAGGCCTGGAAATGGTGTCCGCCGACAACGCAACAGAAAAATCCTTGTCGGCCATTGCTGCCAAAATTGATCCTAAATTACGCACGCCAATTAAAATGGGAATCTCCGCTTCTACGATGACGCTGAAGAAAGATGCGGGTGCAGCGGAGCTGGTCGAAGTTAAAGCCGATGCCGTGCTGTTAGATTATCAGGTCGCAGAACATGCAGTCTTAGAGAGTGAGGCTAAGTTGACGAGTCAGGGAGCTGGTGAGCTGACCCATTTGCCAATGAGCGATTATAACGGCCTACTAGATTTCCCGGCCCCAGGTACCGACTGCAATCAGATTGAAGGTCAGCCTAAGGGCAAACCAAAAATTGAACCAGCCGCCCCAGCAAATGAGAAAGATGCAGACCCACCGGTGACCACAGCCGGTGAAGTAGCCAAATTAGATAGGCGAACCGCGGAGGCAGTAAAAAAGCCTAAATCGAGACTACCGGTTAAAATGTCCATGCCTCCGCCTCAGAAAGGGCAGAAGTCAGCAGCATGCACGACAAAACAGCCTAGGATGAGTGAGTTAAAGGGAAAAGCAGATCCAGCCAAATGTAACGAGGCAAAATCTAGACTTCCTGTTAAAAACATAGAAAAAACTAATTCGCCTTCAGCCGCAAGTTCCCAGTGCAGTTCGGGGCGAGGTGAGAAAGGGAAGTCAAGGCAGTTTTGTTCCAGATTACCAGTCAAGGTAAGATCGGGCACTGCTGCCATTAAACCAGCTAGAGCAGGGAAGGAGCAGTTGAGTGAGGTCTGTAAACGTTCGGTTGAATATTTGAAAGGGATTAGCGGTGAGGCGTTCAGACTTGTGGATCAACTTGCCGATGAAGAGAGAAAAGTGCAGGCAGAGATCTTTGATGACGAAGACAGCGCGTCGAGAAACGCATCCCTATCGGAGGCCGCTCAATCTTTCGTTACATCGCGGTCTCCTAGAGATTTGAGACTGGAGGCAGCACCTTTAAAATCAAAGGTTGAAAAGGTCTACAGTGAGACAAGGAACAGTAGAAGGACTGGTGGGGAGGAAAGCAGTCAGGTTTCTGGGCCTCACGTGGCTCGCACCGCGGAGATCAAGCCTAGTTTGTAAAATTTTCGACTTGTTGATCTTTAGTGCATGATGATTTGTGATTGCCTGTGGCGTGACTTACCCTTAGCTACCATGTCGTCATTGTTGTTGTTCGTGTTGTCTCGTATTCCTCTCCTCCCCCCAACCTCCCTCTCCTTTTTACTCCAGCGTAATCCAATAGTCCTCCTTTAGTTAAGCATGCTGGCCAAGTTTGAGCAGAGAATACAAGGCAATTTCCTCTCTGCAGTCCTCCGATAATGTGTAAGTCAGAGAAGAAGGTGCAACACTGGTACCTCAAGACCTTTTGCTTAAAAACAAAAACACGTAGTTTGTTCATCACCTCCAGATACACAACATTAACTCAGTTCTTGGGTGTTCTCAGCATGTTTGGATCCATTTTCAATATTACGCTGTGATGTTATACAATCTTTTACATTCAGTGTTTCTGAATCTGGGCTTCAGCTCAGATCCGCGATAGGATCTACACTCGTGTAGGTCACCAGGGATAATGTGGGCATGAGTAGCTTTCTGATAGAAATGTAGATGTGATGTGTGAGGCATGGCATTGTCAGTCTAATACAGTGTTTGAAACTGCAGGTCCTCAGACCCCATGTGAACAGACAGATATAAGGACAGCCATTGTAGCGGATCATCTCGGGTTGAGTTGGACGGGTAAGACACTCCTTTCACTGTTTTTTCTCACCCTCAAGAAAAATAAAAAGCACTTTTAAATTGCTGGTTCCTAAAGTCAATGCAGGACCATTGTCATAGATCCATTGTTATATGTCCATGAGTATGAATCATTGATCCGTTGTCATAGATATTATGGATTATTATGGATTCATTGTCATAGACCATTATCAGTGATCCATTATTAATGATCCGTTATCAATGATCCGTGATCAATGGCCCATCATCATAGATCTGTTACCACGGATCTGTGAAAGTCAAACTGCAAATTAGAGTGGTTGCAACTGGCAAGAGAAGTCGATAAAGCTCTTTTATGTTCTACCTGATCCAGGATATTGTTGACAGAGGTGTGGAATGCAAAACTACAGAAGCAATGCTAAATCTTTATGAATGCATTGTATCGAACCTCCAGAGGAGTACTGTGTTCAGTTCTGGATGTTGTTCATTAGCAATAGGCAAAGCCCTTGGAGATGAACTCTGTCATTTCCTAGGCTGTGACAAGGGATGTGAAGCTGGAGTTATCACAGAATCATAGAATCCCTACAGTGTGGAAACAGGCCCTTCAGCCCAACAAGTCCACACCGACCCTTGGAGCATCCTACCCAGACCCATCCTCCTATAACCCACCTAACCTACAGACCCCTGAACACTATGGGCAATTTAGCATGGCCAATCCTCCTAACCTGCACATCTTTGGACTGTGGGAGGAAACCGGAGCACCCGGAGGAAACCCATGCAGACACGGGGAGAATGTGCAAACTCCAGACAGACAGTCGCCCAAGGGTGAAATCGAACCCAGGTCCCTGGCGCTGTGAGGCAGCAGTGCTAACCACTGAGCCACCGTGCCACCCCTGTTGTCTCGCAAGGTTGAAGAAATTTGTTGCTCATTTTCTCCAGGATATGGAAAATTAAGAGGAGATTTAATAGAGATGTACAGATGTTATTATTGAATAAGTAACTATTTTCTCTTTCTGTTTCATGGGATGAGGGCATCTTTGCTGGCATTTTTGATTCCCATCCCTAAGTTCCTCTTGAGAAAGTGGTGATGAGCTGTTGAGTTGAACCACTGCAGTGCTTGGGGTGTAGGTGCACCCAGAGTTCTGTTAGGAAGGGAGTTCCAGGATTTTGAAGTAGTGACAGGTGAAGGAATGGTGATATATTTTCAGGTTAGGATGGTGTGTGGCCTGGAGCAGGAGGCCATGTTCCCATGCCTCTGGTGTCCCTGTCCTCCTAGGTAGTAGAGATGGCGTTGTAAAGTGTTGTTGAAGGAGCTTTGACAGGTTTTGCAGTGCATGTTTTAGACAGTGCACACAGCTACTGCTGTACGCCAGTGCTGGGGTAAGTGAATGCTTTGGTTGATGTATAGTTCTCCAGTCAAGCAGGATTTGCTTTGTCCTGGATGGTGTCAAGCTTCTTGAGTGTTGTTGGAGCAGCACTCATCCAGGCAAGTGGGGAGTATTCCGTCACACTCCTGACTTGTGCCTTGTGGACAGTGGATAGACTTTGCGGAGTCAAGAGGTGAGTTAGTCACTGCAGGATCCCCAGCCTCTGACCTGCTCTCGTAGCCACCGTGTTTATGTGGCGGTAAATGATTCTTGATGTCTGGTAGTGGGCAAGAGCTGTCTTCTAACCACGTGCCATGCTCCTGCTCTACCTTTGACTGTTCCATATTTGGATGAACAAAACTGGGCATCATTAGAGAATAGTTTGGGACAGGATGACAGTGCAGTTGATGCAAGTTTTAGATTGTAGTATCACCCCTAACCAATCAAAAACCTCTGAAGCAGTGATGAGAAAGATGACTGAAGCAGATTTTCCAACACCACGAGTGGCTGCGCACGCTGCTGTACATCTTTGGATAATTGATATTCCAAGCTGTTGGAATAGTGTAAGTGGTAACACTATGCTCTTCCGACAACCCTCTAAGTCAATGCAAAGGAGAACCCAAGCACAATGAGAATTATAAGGTGAAGGGATGTCTCATACCTTGCTCTCATTAGACTGTTCCACTTGTGTGTTATATGAAGGAAAACCTAGCAATTGACAAAGCATGGCTTGGGATAGCGTTGGACATCCATCATTAGTGCCATTGATTTTGGAACCAAAGAGCTTAGGATCAAGCATCCTGCTGCCTGGTTTTCCCTGGGGAAAGATGAGGAAGAAGAACCTGCTTTGATATACCAGTACTCGCCAGTTTTATTGGTATTTCTCAGCATGACTGTGAAGATGCAAGTTTCAAGCCTGCGGTGAGCTTGACTTCCATCTTGGTGTTTGGAGCATGCCCATCCGATAGCTTCCTGCAATGAGTCAAGACTGTCACGGTCTGCCTGAGTGAAGAGGAGCCTGGGGAAGATAAGCTTTCCTCAGCATTTCCAAGCTTGAAGCCAAGTCTATTTAAAAGTCTGCAAAATATTTACAGTTGAGATATTGTGCCCTGTAGGATGACCATTGAACAAGTTCCAACGCCCTGAGGACCCATCACACTTGTAACCCTTTTAATTATGTAGGAGAAATAACCATTAAAATGATGCATTCCTCACCATAAATTACTTTAACGTTCAATGGTTGTTGCTTTGCTTCCAAGATGAATACTTCTCTGCCAGTAACATTTCACAAGGAGAAAGTGAGGTAAATGAGGGGGGCAATTACTGCCAAGAGATACAGCAAACTCTCTGTTCTTCAAAATCCCACTGTGCAATCTCGAATTGAACAAATCAGATGGGCAAAGATAATACGGAACACAAATTTGTAATTTGCATTGAAGAACCTACCTGGGAATAGGCTGCTTTAGATCTGAGTAATGTGTAATGAGGGAGGATCAGTAAGAGATCTCACAGTTATGAATCCTCGAGCAGTAGCAATCACAATGTGATAGAATTTCAAATTTAGTTTGATGGAGAGCGACTCGAGTCTGAAACCAGTGTCTTCAAGGTAAATAAGACCAATTACAGAGGTATGAAGAAATAGTTTCCAGAGCAGACTGGGAAGTAAACGAAAGGAAGGTCAGTAGATGAACAGTAGCAGATATTTCAAAACGCTCAGCAAGAATTTATTCTGGTCTAAAAAGACCCGATGAGAAGGATGAACCTCCCATGGTTGACAGAGACGATCAGTCAATAACTAAGGCCCACCATGCAGCAAAAACTAGTGGTAGACCAGAGGATTGGGAGTTTCTTTAAATACCAGTTGACGTTTGAAAATTGATTATGAATGTAAGTTGGCAAGAAACGTCGAAACAAACAGCAAGAGGTTTTATAGGAGAAGAATAATTAAAAGGAGAATGGGATCCTCAAAGGATGCAACGAGGGAGTTGATAACAGGGAAATTGCAGATAAAATTAAACCAGCTATCACAGTGGAGGAGGTTGTAAACATCCCAAATATATATTAGATAAGGCAGAGTGCTAATGGGAAGAAAGACTCTATTACAAGGAACAAAGGATTTGGGAGACATCGAGTCATAGATTTGTACAGTATGGAAACAGACCCTTCGGTCCAGTTGTCCATGCTGACCAGATATCCTATATAAATCTAGTCCCATTTGCCAGCATTTAGCCCATAACCTTCTAAATTCTTCCTATACATGTACCATCCAGATGCCTTTTAAATGTTGTAATTGTACCAGCCTCCACCACTTCCCCTGGTAGTTCATTGCATACACACACCACCCTCTGAGTTAAAAAGTTGCCCCTTAGGTCCCTTTCAAATCTTTCCCCTCTCACCTTAAACCGATGCCCTCTATTTTGAACTCCCCTACCCTGGAGAAAAGACCTTGTCTATTTACCCTATCTGTGTCCCTTGTGATTTTATAAACTTCTGTAAGGTCACCCATCAGCCTCCAACGCTCCAGGGAAAATAGCCCCAGTCTATTCAGCCTCTTCCTATAGCTCAAACCCTCCAACCTGGCAACATTGGCCAATAAAGGCAAGGATACCAAACACCTTCTTCACCATCCCGTCCACCTACCACTCCACTTTCATGAAAGTATGAATCTGCACTCCAAGATCTCTTTGTTCAACAACCTCCCCAGGACCTTATCATTAAGTATATAAGTCCTGCCCCAATTTGCCTGTTCAAAATGCAGCACCTCACATTTATCTAAATTAAATAAATGGGACTGAAAGCAGAGAAGTCACCAGGTCCTGATAGCCTGCATCTAAGAGTTTTAAAGGAAGTGGCTGCAGAGATAATGGAGGAATTGGCTGAAATATTTCAGAACTCATTGGATTCTGGAAGAGTTCCAGTGAATTGGGAAACTGCTGATGTAACATCCCTGTTCAATGAGAGAGGGATTCAAAAAGCAGGCACTATGGTCAGGGGCACAGGTAGGCATTTCTGTGACTGCAAGCGAGACTCCAGGATGGTGTGTTGCCTCCCTGGTGCCAGGGTGAAGGACGTCTCTGAGCAGGCACAGGATATCCTGAACAAGGAGGGTGAGCAGCCAGAGGTTATGGTCCATATTGGTACTAATGACATGGGCAGAAAGAGAGATGAGGTCCTGCATAAGGAGTTCAGGGAGTCAGGTAGGATGTCAAAAAGCAGGACCTATAGGGTTGTAATCTCAGGATTACTTCCTGTGCCACATGCCAGTGAGGCTAGAAGTAGGAAGATAGTACAGTTAAATATGTGGCTAAAGAGCTGGTGTAGGAGGGAGGGATTCAGGTATGTGGATCATCGGGATGTCTTCTGGGGCGGGTGGAATCTGTACAGGAAGGACAGGTTGCACCAAACCGGGATGGGCACCAATATCCTGGCAGGGAGGTTTGCTAGTGACACTCAGGAGGATTGAAACCGATGTGGAGGGGGAGGACCAGAGCATTAGGTAAGCAAATAAAATGACCGAAGAGGAGTCCGAGACTAAGACTAAGAGATGATTTGAAGTGTATTTGTTTTAACCAAAGACTATGAGATGTAAGGCAGATGAGTTTAGAGCTTGGGTTAATTCATAGAACTATGTTTTGTAGCAATTACAGAGACTTGGTT